GGTGGTTCCCAAGCGTCTTGACGCGTCAGGAAAACAAAAATGGAGGGTTGTAATCGACTATAGGCGTCTTAATGAAAAAACAGTGGATGATCGGTACCCCCTACCTAATATAACCGACCTTCTAGATAAGCTAGGGAAATGTCAATATTTTACGACGTTAGATCTTGCAAGCGGCTTTCACCAAATAGAAATGTCGGAACAAGATATTGAAAAGACCGCATTTAGTACAGAGCAGGGACATTATGAGTATCTTAGGATGCCTTTTGGGTTAAAAAATGCCCCTGCTACATTTCAACGTGTGATGGACAACATCCTCCGCGGTATCCAAAACGAAAAATGTTTAACATATTTAGACGACATAATAGTGTTTTCAACCTCTCTACAAGAACATATTGATAGACTTAGATGCGTTTTTCAAAGACTTCGTGATTCAAACTTTAAAATCCAGTTAGATAAATCCGAATTCTTGCGGAAAGAAGGGCGTACTTGGGCCACATCGTAACACCTGAGGGGGTACGCCCAAATCCGGATAAAATAATAGCCATCAAAAATTTTCCTATCCCAAAAACTACCAAACAAATTAAAGGATTCTTGGGACTATTGGGTTATTACCGTAGATTTATCAAAAACTTCTCAAAAATTACTAAACCACTTACTAACTGTTTAAAAAATGGCGCAAAAATTGAAATTAACGACGAATATATATCTTGCTTTGAATATTGTAAAAACCTGTTGATGAACGAACCTATTTTACAATACCCGGATTTTTTCAAGCCATTCAATTTAACCACTGATGCCAGTAATGTTAGTTTAGGTGCGGTTTTATCTCAGGGACCAATCGGAAAAGACCTTCCAGTTGCGTATGCGTCGCGAACATTAAATAAGTCAGAACAAAATTATTCCGTAATCGAGAGGGAACTTTTGGCAATAGTATGGGCTACGAAATATTTTCGCCCATACTTATTTGGAAAAAAATTCAATATTATCACGGACCACAAACCACTACAATGGTTATTTTCGTTAAAAGACCCCAACTCCAAATTGTTACGCTGGAGAATAAAACTAGACGAATATGACTATACAATACTATATAAAAAGGGTAAATTAAATACAAATGCGGACGCTCTTTCCAGGGTAGAGATTCACACTAAAGAATTTCTTGACGACATAGACAAAATAATTTTAGACAGATCACAAGAAAATTCTAGACTTGACGAGATTATTCAAGACTTAAGAAATCTTGAACCTCATCATTCAAACTTTGACCAGGCATCCTTACAAGTACATCCCGACACTGATACTCTAAACGATTTAGAACCCCAAGATGAAAACGACGACGACACTGTACACTCAAATTCCGACGAAAATCCTATCGTAGGAATTCCAATTGCAGAATGTCCTGTTAATCACGGAATAAATCAAATTTTTGTAAGTTCGGTACTACATTCCCCAGCCATACCTAAAATAACAGTTCTTTTTGAAAACCGAAAACGAATCCATGTGCAAATTTCTGAGTATAATTTCGAAAATGATGTGGTAAGATTTATAAAAGAATACGTATCGTCAGATACTGTATATCACATGTATTTCGAAAGTCCCAACATATACGAAAAATTTTGTAACATATTACATAAAAACTTTAAATGGCCTTTTATTAAATTGAAAAAATGTAACCAAAAACTACTGGATGTTACAAATAAAGACGACATAAAGGAAATCATACAAAACTACCACGAGGGTAAATCCAACCACCGTGGAATAGACGAAACAGTTATCAAAATCAAAGAAAAATACTATTGGCCAAGATTAAAAGATTCCGTACAATCATACATTAACGATTGCGAAATCTGTCAAAAAAGTAAATATGAACGCAACCCCTTGCATATAAAAATGAATGTAACCCCTACAGCCACAAGACCCTTCGAAATTGTTCATATAGACACATTTACATTCGAAAAATCTAAATTTCTTACTATAATTGATAGCTTCTCAAAATATGCACAAGCTTACCCAATAGATTCTCTAAACTCTACTGAAATTACTGACAACTTAATTAATTTCTTTTCGCATCATGGAACCCCCTATCAAATTACCGTAGATAATGGAACATAATTTAAAACTTCTATAATTTGCGAACTTTTAGCACTACATAAAATAAATATTCATTTTTGCTCACCAAATCACCCTCAATCAAATGGTATGATTGAGAGACTACATTCCACTCTAATTGAACATCTCCGACTTCTCAACAACCAAGGATTTCAAAATACTCCCGCAAAACTAAAAATGACATACGCAATATTAGCTTATAACAACTCGATTCACTCTTCAACCAAATTTAAACCTATTGATGTATTACAAGGACACGTAAGTAGTAACGACCCTTTTAGAATCGAAATTGATAAAATGTTATTGAATAATTACATCGATAATCATAGAGAACGAACCAAAATTTTGTATTCCAAAATTAATCAAGATCTAATAAATCGCAAAGATAAAATTATTGAGAAGGTCAATAAAAATCGCGAGGAACCCGATATGTTTGCTCCTCAACAAAAGGTTTTTGAAAAAAATATTGACAGACGAAAAAACGCAAATAAATTTAAAAAACCGGTAACTTTAAAAGTAGTTAGAAATACGAAGAAAACAGTAGGTACTCATACACAAGACAAAATTCACATGAATAATCTAAAACGCCCCCTCAAAAACACGTATGATTTTAAAACTAAACAATCTTAATTTTCTTTAGATATTTTGGGACCCTCGGAGCCTCATCCAAAATTACAATGAAAAATCTGGAAAATAACTTTGGACTCAAATTAGGAACAGCTAAAATAAAAGAAAGTTATTTTAATCTAATTCATTATTGTGACATAAATCCGATAATTGTGGAAATTGATAAATTGAAAAATCATTCAAGGGATCTAAAAACTCATGCCTCAAAAAACATATATTATTCAAGCGACATTGCAAATTACTTAAAAATCTTAGCATTCACCGAAGAAAAAGTTGAAAGTAAACTAGTTGAAATTTTACCCCCTCCTTCAACTCATAGGACAAAAAGAGGACTCATTAATGGGCTAGGATCTATATTCAAAGCTATATCAGGTAACTTAGACTCCACTGATGGAGAACGGTATGAACTATTAATAAAACAACTCCAAGAAAATCAGAATAACATGGCCGTAAATATAAAAAACCAAAATTTGTTGTCAATTTCACTAATAAATAAATTCAATTTAACCGTTAATCAAATAATACATAATGAAGAAATTTTAAAAGAAAAACTAGAAAGAATCGCTTCAGTTGTAGAAACAACTATCGAGTTAGGAAATACAATAATAATAAAAGACACCCTTATTCAAATTATCAATATGTTGGAAATAATTATTTCAATATTGCAAGATATAGAAACATCTATATCATTCTCAAAACTTAATATTATGCACCCAACTATCATGAAAACCGCAGATTTCTTTAAGGAATTACAAAAGATTCAAAGGAAATTAAAGGGCAGTCGATTGCCACTTGAAGTAACTTTAGAAAATATTTTGATATATGAAAAACTGATAAAAATCGAGAGCTACGTATTTAACAACAAAATAACTTATATAATTAAAATTCCTTTAACGACTATTGAAATTTTTGACTATTACCATTTGTACCCTGTACCAGTCGAGAAACAGGGTCAGTTAAAAGCAGTGATTCCAAAAAATAATTACTTAATAAAAGATAACTTCAATTACGCGTTTATGAGCAAGCCTTGCCTTAAGCTACACCCAGCAACATCATATATTTGCGGCGAAACTAACCTCCAAGGGATCAAGAAAGAAAATCCATGCGAAATAGCCCTCTTAAATATCCAAAACACCTCCACATGTCAACAAACACGAATCACAACAAAACAAGCCTTGTTCGAAAGATTAGATCGAACAAATCAATGGATAGCAACTTTCCCATCAAAGGAACCAATCACCCTTCAATGTCATGATCAAACCGAAGTCATTGAAGCCATAGGCAGTTACCTCATTCAAATTCCAGTCGGCTGTTCAGTGACCACAAAACAGAAAAAAACCGCAAATGAAGAAAACTTTCAAACTTCAAGTCAACCCATGTTGTTTCCCGAACTACAATTCCAAAATTCTGAATCGTCAAAATTAAATCTCAATCTTGAATTAGAAGAAATTAATCTAGATGAACTACACCAAATTAAATCAAAATTCGTCGAAAATGAACCAATAACCAAGTTCCAAGGAGTGCACTACACCCCCAGTATATGGACAATATTTATGTATTGTTTTTTGGCCTTACTAACAGGAGTTTTTGTTGTTAGAAAAATCTCAACCTATCGTAAGCCAGTAAATCAAGAAGTACCAGTAGACCATACCACCGTTCAACTCCCTCGCTAACCCTTTGGAGTTGAATCTTCGAGGGGAGGAATTACATCAGCCCTAGTAACAGATCCTGCAGATGTCGGCGTTATCAGAGTTACCAGTTTCTAGGAAACCGCTGATTAGGACTTTATGCATTTTATCTAGTTTTCTCATTTTTAACATTATTATACATTTATATTTCTTGTAGTACAGATCGTAGTTGTAGAATTTTAACTTAGAAAAAATAATTAAATTTTTTAAAAAGCTATTTTCAATTTGAAAGTTTATTTTTTGCATATGACTCACCTTCTCCAATATTTTGTCCGAGTATAACTAATAATTTAGATTTTTTTTACAATTTTAAAAGAATACGTTCGACCAAAATTTTTCTTACTGACTCATTAATTAATAATCGGAAATTAATAATATCGAATATTAATAATATCACATATTAATAATACCGACTATTAATAATATCGAATATTATTAAAATCACCATTATTAATATAGAATATTAATAACATCGACTATTAATAATCTCGGCTATTAATTTCTCATTAGTAATCACGACAAATAATCGTTTATATTAATTAATATACTTAAAGGAATTTTATTCTTTTTTTTAAGGTGGAACAAATTTTAATAAACGAAGACAGAAAGCAGGCTTATGGTGTAGTTTTCAACAAATTCGGCACCCACAATACGGTTTTTGCCAAAAGAGAAGTAATCTTGAGCGCCGGGTCCTTGGTCTCACCGCAACTTCTTATGTTAGCTGGAATAGGTCCAGAAGAACATTTGAAGGATAAAGGGATTAAAGTTTTGGTTAATTCGGCCGGTGTTGGATCCAATTTACAGGTAAAATGTGTAGCACTAGAGATCGTCCGGCTATTATCTGGAATTTGATTTTCTAATGTAGTACAAGTTAATTATCAAATTATTCAACGAATATTTTCTTTCGCTTGGTTTCTTATTTCTTGTATATTATATTCTATAGTCTATTGTTCACAACGGATGGATCCATTTTTACTTTATTTTGCTTTATTTGACAGTGACGTTTATTTTTTATTTGTAATTGGTAACGCTGATTCATAAAAGAAAAACAAATAGGAGGACGAACTACAAAATTTGATTTTCGTTCATCAACACACATAATAAATCATATATTTTTTTATTTAGCTGAATAATAACAATAATTTAATGCAGCTTTGTCACATCAAATGGTATAAAAAAAAATCTGCGAGTTACGTGAGCGTATACAGCTGACATTCGAACTCCTTATCGTATCATATTATATTTCAGTGCTTAGCTTGTTATTTTAATCTTTTACATTAATTCTCTAGTTTATTAAATCAGATTTTGTTTAGCCTTTGCCAAGCAAAGACGTTTGTAATTTTAATCAATAAAATTGTTTTTAAAAAAACCTGTATCAGTTTCAAAATATATATTTTGCGAACTAGGGACATTATTGTAAGAGAATTGAATTTTTAGAATGTGTCATATTAAACCTTATAAAATCCTTTGTGAAATGATGCACGCAGCAATCTGTTTAAATACCATTCGCCTTTTTTAGTGCTGTTGAGGAATGCATTTATTTTCATTATGATATTTCAAAATTTAAAGCCCTTTGATTTTTTTCTCGGAAACTGGAAGGAATTAAAACTTTAAAACAATACATATTCTATATATTATTGCCTAATTTATTTTGCCAAAATTTAATTTTTTTAAAAAAATTACTTTTTGAGATATCCTTGTCCGAAAATTATAAAAGGGTGCTGTAATCACCTTAATAGAGATTTATAAAGTTTAAGGGAAAAATATTAATTTATGGCAATTATGATCTAAATTTGGTTTAACATATTGTAGCTCTTGAAATACAGCACTAGGTTGATTTTTTTAATAATAAAACATTTTTTCATTAGGACCATGCAGCTGTAGGCGGAGCTACGTACGTATTAGATAAGCCACGTGAATTTGAAAATGAAACACTGACTTTCCAGCTTGCAAATATTTTTTCCACAGAAACAGTAAACGATTTTACGCAGAAAAAACAAGGTCCTATTTATTGGTTGCCAGTATGTGAAGTAAGTATTTTACAGTGTTTTTCTTTTTGTCGAAAATTATCTTGGTGTATATCTAAATACTTCATCTGCGTCTGATTTATTTTTCCTTATGACCAGGGACCTATTTCATTATTGGGGAATTTAGCAAATAATAAGTTAAAGAAAACTCTTTTTACTTCACCCAAGCTTTCGGAAATTTATTTAATCATTTCCATCATCAGGATAGACTACAAAATAATGTTGGAAAATAGTTACAATGGACCAAATTAAACTAAAGTTACTACTTACAATAAGTTGACATTGTTCACTAGATGTTCTAACAAATTTTTATATATTTTTCATAAAACAGTCAATTAAATTTATATATTATAAATTAAAATCACTAAGATTAAAGTTATTTCTTTTCCAATTTCAATAAACTCCGTTGTTAAATTTATGTTTTTGTCAACTATTTGACATTGTCAAAAAGCGGCATTTTATAAATATTGCAAAACATTTGAATGAAAGAAAAAAAGACAAAAGAGTTTTTTTTAAAAAATAAATAAACATTTTTTATAAGTTCATTATAAAATAACTTATTTCAAGGATTCAAAAGATGACACAATATGTTAATTTCGTAACGGTTTATCTTTTGATAAAAGATTTTGGTAAATTTCACTAAGATGTTGTACGTCTGTTTTTTTTGTTCATGTTTTTAGGGTTTTGAGCTATAAATGTCATTTATTGCCGAAAAACAAACATTTATTTTTGTTTCAACCGTGGACGGGATTAAAACCCACGATCGGTGAGTCGACGTGAGCGAAGACCCGCGCCTTAGACCGTACGACCAACGAACTTGACTTAGTGGGATATACTGACAGTAATAAGCTTGAGTCCAAAGGAGAGTTACAAACATACATGCAGGTGAAGCTAATAAAAGCGTGTTAATAAAGCGTCTTAAAAAAATTTGCGTTTTTTACACAAACAAAAGTACCATCCCTATAAAATTCAGTTGGTACAGGAGTTATCTGAGGACGATCCAGACCGAAGGCTACAATTCTGTGAACAAATAATGAACAGATGTCAGGCAGATGTGCAATTTTTACAGAAAATACGTTTTTCGGACGAAGCAATGCTTTACTTAAATGGTACTGTCAACCGACACAATTCTCGTTATTGGAGCAGAGAAAATCCTCATGGATAATGGAGACTCACACTCAGTTTCTTAAAAAAGTGAATGTGTGGTGTGGTATTATTGAAAATAAAATCATTGGGCCTTTTTTGATGACTCTCTGACAGGTGAAGGATATTTATATTTTTTAACAAATTTTTTGGTACCTCAATTACAAGTTCTGTATCCTGATAATAACAATCCAGATGAAACAGATAGAAATGTTTGGTTCCAACAAGATGGTGCTGCACCACATTTTGCACGTGGAGTGAGAGACTACTTGGATGAAGTATTTCCTAATAGCTGGATTGGCAGGCGTGGAGCCATTGAATGGCCACCTAGATCTCCCGATTTAACGCCACTTAAAGTCTCAAGTGTATTTAAATCGACCGCAGACTATTGACGAATTAAAAGAAATAATCAGCGAAGAAATTGGAAAAATTGGCCCGGACGTCATACAAGATGTTCTTCAAGAATTTAATAACCGCATTGGTTATTGTCAAGAAGTTAACGGCAGTCATTTTGAGCATTTAATACGATAAAATTGAAGTATTATTAATAGAACAGTTAAAAATAAAAATTGATTATTCTTGAATATAAATGTACAAAAAACAAAAAATCTTATACTGCTGAATAGGGAATTAAAAACCCTTTAAAATGACGTATCACACGCTACCCCTTTCTATTTAAAAAAAATTAAAGGGGTGACTTTTACTCCGAAGGGGTTGAAGGGGGAGATAAATAATTTTGTTCAGAAAATGTCATTTTAGAAATAAAAATCGACCTGTTCAAGGATTTTGTTTCAAAACGTAATAATAAAGCCAATAATTAATATATTCCACAAATATGGACCACCCTGTATATATAAATAATTCTTCCATTACGTCATTTCTGCAAGTTTAAAATTTCTTAAAGTTCTTAAAGTTTCTTAACCTAAACTAATTTATTTTATGAAGTAGTGATCTCTCTTGATATTCTAGTTTCTTTGTTTTATACTTGTAAAAAAGTAAATTGTCCGATTTTTCTTGAGAAGAAATAATACAAACCAGATCAAATTTTGGTAAAATAATACTAAATATTGTATATAAATTCGCAAATTTTTTCAAAAATTTTAAACGTAGGTCCATAAACATTATTAAATAGTTTCTTTTTTATAACAGGTAATTGGTTTTGTATCGACAAAGTACCAAAATCCCAAAGTTGATTGGCCGGACATTCAATTCTTCTTGTCATCGGCGGCTGACAGTTCTGATGGCGGTCTTTTCGGAAGACGAGCCGAAGGCCTGACAGACGAGTTATTTGCAGCCATTTACGAAAATCTGATCGACAAGGAAGCTTTTAATATTTATAGTTTACTGTTGAGGCCGAAGAGTAGAGGAAGGATAATGTTGAGAGACAAGGATCCCGAGTCAAAGGTCCTTATATATCCGAATTATTTTTCTAACAAAGACGATTTGAAAGTGATAGTAAGTACATTAAAGGAGTTTCCTGACAAGACAATAATGTATTCATAGTGTTCTTTATATTTAGATAGAGGGAGCAAAAATAGGGCATCAAATAGCCATGAGTCAGGTAATGCAAAATTTCAACATCACTTTCAACCCCAACCGTATACCAGCATGTAAACATTTAGAACTCTTTTCCGACGAATATTGGGCATGTCACGTAAAACAAATTACTTTGACGATATATCACCCTGTAGGAACGGCTAAAATGGGACCTGAAGATGATCCTAGTGCTGTAGTAGATGCCCGGTTAAAAGTAAGAGGTAAGTGATATTTACTTTAAAAGATTTGTTTGTGTACGCGAGAGAAATGATTTCTCTCAATATTTTCACGAGAAATGTCACACTTCAACGTAAAAACAATATTTTAAAAGCCAGTGAGAATTAAAACGATTAGGAGAGTTTGAATCCTCTCAAAATAAACCGAGAGAAACAGTCGGTGAGTTCTCCTTGGCTTTAAAAATACTGTTTTCACGCTGACATATGACATTTCTCATGAAAGTCTTGAGAGAAATGAGTTCTCCCAAGTTTGAAAAAAGGTCCCCTGAAGTGACTCTCGTTCGTTTATTACAATTTCAGAAATTTAAAATGATTCGATAGAATCGATTTAATTGAATATTTGAATGATTTACCATTCGAATGATCACATCACTAAACCACAGTCTGTAGTTGCCTTACAATCAGGATAGAACTTGTTGGTCGGTTACGTGTGTTTATAATAAAAAGGTGAAAGTGTTGTCTTGTGGGAATACAATTTACTTAGTTTTGCAGTGCTATCATTCTCGTTGAGGTAAAAAATAATAAAAATATATTATGTTTAACTTCTATCTATATTCTAACTCTCTTTTACAGATTTTTAACTGCAATAATGTCAGTAGGAAGTGTAATAATTTTGTTTTTGGGACACCAACCGAATTGAATGAAAATGTTTTGCCAACTTACGAACAGGTAATGAGATTGTACGCTTTTACTAGGTTTAACCACAGACATCGATAAAGGAGATAGGAAATGTCATTTTCATCAGGCACGTAGAATTGAAGGCGGCCATCTTTACAAAAAAAGCGACCTACGCACTTGCGCATTGATTGCATATTGAAGTGTACAGGATAGGACTAACACATTTAAACATAATTCGAAAATATTAAGGATTTACTTACACAGTAGAACTAATAACCTTAAAAACTCGTAATAGAATTTTAATTTTCTTTTTTTGTGGATTTTAAGAGATTTCTAAAAATAAAAAACATCATAGTCTTTTTTGAAACTTTATTTTAAATTAAATAAAAACATAGAATATATTTAAAATACAATTTTATATGAAATTAATACAACAATCTAAGGCCGTCATACATTTTGTAGCAAATAAATCTGGAATCACGTGATTTAAACAAAACTTTCATATTAAAAACTGTAATTTTGTATGTAATTATTACATGTGATTGCTCAGATCTTGAAAGTATTTCATTTCATATAAAAACTACAAAACTAAGGAATTCAAAAATATTTGTAATATCGTTCCACAGTACTATGACATGTACTTGAGCATACATTAAGAATCATCAATCAAAATAAATAAGAGATTATGGGCATATTCCTACTAAAGAATAGAGTAAATTTAAAACTAGGTATTATAAGAAGTATGTAGTCAAATATTTTATTAAAAAAGGGAAATAAATCCAAACTTTAACGTTTTCCTTCAAAAAACAACTACTTCTTTGGCTAATTCCGCAGCAGACATTGAATTATATCCAAATAAAACAACAAAGTTAAAAAATTCTTTTTCAATATTCAAACTTTGTTCTTGCTTACCATATATAACGTTATTCTTGGACCGGTTTTGTCCTTATTAGGACTCATCAGCAAGAAATAGACATTCTCGATTTCGGTCACTAAAGGAATCTGAAAAGGCGGTAAATTCACCCGCTTACATAGACGGAGGTTGTGAGAAGCTTCGATTTTGCCAAATGCGAAGGGTTTTACTTTTCTATCTTGTGTAATAAATACTACAGTAAATATATGTTAATATTGTATTATTAAACATAAACCATTTATATTACATTAGAAAATGACACTAATAAATTATAAATAAAAAAAAGCTATTTAATAAAAGTTAATAAGGAACAAAAAATACAAATTTAGTTTTTTAAATTTTCATTGGTATTTGAACAATGTCTTTAATGTTTTTATTAATCTTGATATGTGATTTTCCTATAAGGGTAGATACTCTTTAGATAATTATAATTATTGATTTCTCGAAACAAGTTTTTATTTTAAACTAATTGAAAATGAACATTTTTTAGCAGGTAATTGATTATGTGATTAAAAATACTTTTTTTTTAAGATAATTTGACAGTTTTACACTAGTACTTACAGCCGAAACTGTTTTATATTACCCTATTTTGTCCTAAAAAATAATTTTCAATAATTTTTATTAGCTGTTGCGCTAGAAAGTGTATCTTGGCGAGCAGAATATTTTATCTTTTTTTTGCAATATAAACAATGTTTTCTGAAATATCTAACAACTTAATTACATTCTGTATAATACAATACAATAATTTAACTTTTTCATCCTGGCTCCAGGAAAAAGGTATGGAACACAATGCCATTGAATAGAGAGAAATAAAATAATACGAATGAGTGTGGACCGCAACAGCCCATGCTTGCCATCGAAAGGGTATGGTAAAATCAATTACTATCTTTATCACTCTCACATCCAAATACAATTAAGCGTCTCATCTTTATTACGCTTGATGCGTCGGCTTAAGATACCGTACATTTTTTGACTATATTTAAATAAATAAATAATGTTTATTGAGCAACTATAAATACATTAGTGTCTCAAAATGAATGAATTCGGCTGAGCCGTTTTTCAATTGATCCTCATTATAACAGAAAAAATGTTCACAAAATAATTATTTTAAATTAAATCATTGTCTTGAAATAAGAACTTGCCTAATATTTTTAACAAAATGATTAAAATTCAAATTATTAAGTCCTGAATTCAACAATAATGGTGCTACGTATCTAAAACAACCTTGGAATTTTGAAGTTCTATGCATTGGGGTTGTAAAAGTGTTCACTCTTAAATTTACATTGTGTAAAGTTGATCTTTTTAGTAAGATATCGTGGAATTTTAAACATTAAAAAAAGATAGTTTACCCTTTCCTAAATTTTATATTTATTTAACCTGCGAATGTACGGAGAAACATGATTTCTATAAGGAATATTACAAGTACATCTTATACAAGAATTTTGAATCTTCTGAAGTTTCTCTCAGTTATATTTAGTAAGAGTAGTAATAAACTATAAGCACTGTTGTTGTACTTTTTAGTGTCATTTGTAAAATGTTGATGGGGTCCTAAAGAATACAATAGCCATTAAGATTCTTAATGTCATGGTACAGAAGTAATCGTAGTCTATATGAATGGAAAATTTTTACAGATAAAGGATTATTGTTCCATCCATACCTAGCCCTAGAAATAAAATGTAATTGCATCATACAATTAAACTAATACTATTCCATATACTGCAGAAAAATAGCTCTAAGTGATCTGTACTAAGTTTATATATTAACAGTTTACATATTTGTCATATAAACCTATTACAAACTTTATAAAACAAAGTCTAGAACACCACTATTCTTCTTCGGTCACTGAATAACATAACTGCTGTCAAAGGTTTTAAGTTTCTTTATACATTCTGTTGCAGCTTATATTTCAGACATCCATATAGTCTCCGTTTTTTGAGACAAAGGCATTTTCCATTGAAATCTAAAAAGATTTCGAGAATTTAGTAAATAGAACAGTTTCTTGAATTTCCTTATACAATTAATAGTAATGTTACTTAGTATTTGTAATTTCTAAATTCGTTTAAGTGTACAAACCTTCATGTCTTTCTCCAATCCATATGGGGCACTCTTAATTTGCTACCCAAACGTAAACCTTCTGTTTGTTAAATATAATGCAACAATTTTATATAATTAAAATCAATAATTTCGCCATTAGTTTCGACAATTTTAGTAAGGTTATCCCAGTTATTCCAAGCCAACTTAAGTATGTGACATGCATCTAAATTTATAAAAATGGAGTCGCAGTGTCAATATCAAAGTTGTATAGGTTTACACCTAATGTTATCCATCAAATGATAATTAAGTGATGATAACTTCATATTCATGCAATTTTAGAAGAGCCTATAATGCCACATTTTTTCTTTCATTACCATCTAAACCGTTAATAAAAAATAACCAACTGGCAACTTCTATAATTCCTTGTTAGACTCTGAATTAATAATATTCGTTCAAGTTGAAGGTTGTAAATTTCTAAAAACAATAGGGATAATTAACAATTTTTTATCACTTTCTTAAAAAGTATAAAAAGAAACAATTGATAATTTTATGTATATATTTACCTCATAACACTAATGTTATAAAAATCTTCAATTTTAGGCATATTTATTTAAGGTATTGCATTATTTTTTTATTGTATCTATTCGTTTTGAAACGATTAAATCATCTATATGACAATGGGAGGAACAAATAGCGTTATTTGCACTTATATTTTCCAATGATTTCTTCCAATAGCTATTAACCAAGAAGCATACGCCTTTTCCTCAATCTAAAAAAATTATAGTAATATCAACGTTAGATACCTACATACAGTTTGTTATTGTACTATGATATTTCGTTTTCTAGAAAATGAAACTGTGGTGAAGAATACGGTTCTGGTAGAAATGATGTCTTACTTGTGGAATGTAATGTTTTCTGAATCCTCGTTGTTTAAACAACCAAAAACAAAGCAAGTCTTTCCCATTTTATTAATTGTCTATAGTAAAAACTTCTAAAATTCTTTTAAATTCACTAAAATAGCGAATTTCGAAAAAAACCAAGAATAGTTGACATAAATGACACTTCTGTCAAAACACTACAACAACTGCGCATGTGCGTTGTACGCTTAAATTGCCAACATGGCGGCCTACATGGTGTGATTATTTTGAAACACCGGGGAAAACGGCTTTTTCCTCTATCCAAATCTGTGGGTTTAACAACAAAAAAAAAATAAGTAAAAGGGAACCAGCCTTTGCAGAAATATCACACGAAGTTACACTTAAATTGGAACAAATATGGCAGAGAGCCTCTATTCCTGTAGTTTCTCAAAAAATAATTTTACAAATGATGCAGCCTTACAGTGCAAAGTTTATGAAACTTCTGAAATCATTCAAAGGCAGACAACGTATTGAGTCACATCCAAATAAAATTAAAGCTTTTA